ATTTGTACTGGCTATTTTTCTCTTGTCCAAAGCAGCAGTAGTAGCTGCTGCTAGTGTTGGTTACTCTGTATGGATACGTGGGTTGTGGCTTGAACATGCTCACCTGTTGCTAAGCAACTTGGAGAAATCCCAAATGACACTTAATTACATGATCCTATTAACTATTGACTGGACCTTTAATGTCTACCAAAATTGCTGTTTGCCAGCTTTGTAATGTGATGTGTTTAGATACAGACACCTCTCTTCCATGTGAGCTTCTCTGGTTGCTTCTTAAGTTTTCAAAAAGCCTTTTTGTGTTAAGGAATTCATTGATATCAAAATGAGGGAGTAGTGTTGTGTGAAAATTTTGACACTCTGGTTTAGGGGGAAAAATATCTTCCTGGTAACACATCAGTGGTGCTTTCAGAGTTGCTTTGCTATAGTAAGAAATGAAAGATCTGAACTGTATTTCATAGAACCTGATTAGTTTGTTGGATATGGTGTTACAACTCTATGAGAATATCTTAGTTAAACCTATAAAAGGATGGGGGGACACACATACAGTCAATCTGGGTGCTCTGTAAGCTCTACCAATTGGTATACATAGGCAGGAGTGTAGTATCAAATGAGTCCCCTTATAGCACAGGAATGGCCAAAAGGAAATCATGTGAAGTGCCATAGGGTTATTCTGTGTATTTGCTGTGTAACATTCCACAGATCAAATAATTATCATATATTGCAGTAACTTTGGGGTTTTGAGACTCTTTCTTGGTATTGAAATGCAAGTAAAAAAATCTGGAAATTAAGATGGCAGAGAGCAAAGACATAAGGATAATGTTGGAAACTATGGCCTGTTTAGAATATTCTTCAGTGTAAATTTTAACTTTGTCTTTCTGCTAGTACTAAGAATTTTCTTGATAGAAGTTGTCTAAAATTGCCACACTTAAGGAAGTGAATTTTGGGATTTTCTGACCTGTTCTATTTCAATGGGATCTGGTCCTCTGGCTTGTTAAATCAGGTGATGTGGGTTCTGCAGTCACGAGTTGTTCTGGGTGCCTGAATGTGGTGTGATGTAGAGAGCTTTTTGTTGTGTAGGAAGCCTGGTAAAAACAAGATTCAGTCTAAATGCCTTGTCTGTTTCAAAAATGACTTGAGACAGCACTGGTTAGTTCACTTTCCCTATGTAGCAGTTTGGTGATAAAATACTAACCAATGCTGGCTGTTAGATGTTCTGTGAGTATTCTTTTTCTGAATCCTATGATCCTAAATCTGGATTTGCTAATAGAGAATTTACATAAATGGCTCTAATTTACATAACCAGACTAGAAATTCAGTGCCCAGCACTGATATTTCTGCCAAGTAGGAGCATTGTAACAGATGGTGGAATTTTCCACCAGCCAGGTGATAACCACTGTAAAGGAGGTATTTGTCTTCCCTTAAATCTCTTGGCTTAAAGGGCTCAGTTATGTTACAGAATTACTCTAGTGTATTTGTTATAATTTGATTTATCCAATTTGTTTTACATATATGAAGTAATATAAATGCATGTTTATGAATAAATCTTAAAATAATCTGATTTTCAGTGTTTCCTGTCAATTTTCACCCTTTCGTCATTACCTCAAATGACATGAAAATGTGTCGATAAGCTTCTGTCAGGAGCAATGCAGTGGCAGCTCAAGCATTTGGTACTATTATGCTCTGTGCAGTAGAAATGCAGTATAAAATATTCGCAGTTATTCTTGGGTCAAGGAGTTGTGGAGTAATAATTTGCTGCTGAGTGGTAGGAAGCAAATATTCTCTCTGGAGATGCTTGGCTGCTATCATTCAGGTTGTGCTGGCTGGAGAACAGGAACAGATGGCAACTGACAGTGTAGCAGCAGGAGTAAAAACAGATTGTTGTCCTCTTGATTAGGTCACATAAAGGTTTTTCCCCATCTCTTTTCAGATCTGCTGAATGAAAACTAGACACTTTGCTACTCCTCCTTCCTTGTTAAGAGTGAGTTCTGATAAATTTGTCACACTTATCAGTAGAGAAGTCCTTTGATTATTTTTTTAGCATGTAAATATGACAGACATAAGCAGCACCAGACACTTCACTTTTAATGTCTTCAGTACAGCCTTGGGAAACCTCAAAACAGCATTGAAGATGATGTGCTAGTGGAGTAATCAGGTGAGGACTCTTTCACTGAAAGGAAATGTGAAAGAGCTTTTGGTGAATGAGCTGCTGAGCTTTAAGTGCTTCAGGTAACGGCTTACCATTATGTGAGGATGTCAAGCTTTGTACATTCATAATCTAAAAGCAGTTGACAGTAATTCTCAAAATAGCTTGATGCAGCAGTTAACAGAATTGAGTGGAAAACTTGCCTATTGACATCTATAAGAATAAGCTTGAATTGCAGGGGAAACTAGAAATGAAATGTACCCCCTGCACCTTCTTCGCTCCCTCCTTCCCATCCCTCAGAAAAACCCCAAACAAGCAGAAAAGAGTGAACAAGCAAATACATATGCTCTTCTGTGCAGGGCTCTTGTTGTACTCTGAACGGTGGTCTTGGGGAATATGGTAGGTCTGCTTTTCTAACTGTAAACTCAAAGCACAGAGGCAAGTCTTTAGCTGTTGTGGAGCAATTAAGTCTGACAGTGTCAGTTAAGTTGACTGGATCTAAACATACAGGTCTTGCCTGTCTGCTGTTTCTGCTCCTGCTGCTTTAGGGTCATCCTGCCCCTTGTAATGATTGAGCTTCACAAGTGCGTGACAGGAAACAAAGTGAAATGAGGAAGTTGGCAGTGGTACCCACAACTTGCCATTACTTTGCCTGTGGTGTATTTTCTTACCATCTGATAATATTTTGTGGGGGATCTAATTTAACATGCACTAGAAAGCAAACAAGTTCATATCCTTGAGGTTTTTGTTCCTTCAGACTGTGCTTGTTCTTGGAAATATGTATCTGTAATACATTATGCTTACAATTCCAGAGGCTTCTTTTTTGAACCTTAAGCTGCATACCTCCCAGGGTAGAAATTTGTGTACTGTATCTCCAGCTAAGCTGGATGCAGTGCATGCTGACCATTGCTGGGAGTTTGGGTGTGATCACATCCTCAAATATGTTCTGCCAGTATGGTTAAACATTGTCTTGTGATTACAGTATGGTGGGTGTGAGACCACAGTTTGAGATGTAAGGAATTTGCCAAGTTTATTCGAACTTGGCTTTGTCCAGAAGACTAGTTTCCATGTAATCTTTTTTTGTATGTTCTCTTTGGGGTTTGAAGCTTCTGCTCTGCATTCCTTGTACATCCAGCAGCGTGGTTGTAGCTTTCTTTGCAGGCCTATATATGGTGTGCATTTGAAACTGTCACTGTAATAACACTAACCCAGTAGGTCACCTCTGTCTTTTGAAGCTATAGTCTGTTGTCAGTTCTTAGCATTTAAAGGACTACTCTGAAATTCAGCAAGTGTAATGAAAGTGTCAAGCAAGAGCCTTGGATGAACTGGGATGAGGCTTAGTACAAGGGAGAGACAGGCTGTTTTCCTTTCCCTCTTACTTTGTTTAGATGATAGTTGTGGGCAACTCTGTTTACCCAGATACAGGATGTTGTTATGTAGAGTAATGAGAAAGCTTGTCCCAACATAACTGCCTAGGCATGAATCCACTTAGTTGGGCTTTTTTTTTTTTTTTTTTTTTTTCCTGTTGATGCTGCCACTTCTTGGAGTTATTTATATTTGTGCAGTCTTAGATATGAAAGGAGATCAGTAAATGATGACTCCTGAATTGTTTTGCAGAGTATGTAGTGTACTGGATTTGATTTGCACACAACACCTCAAGTATGTGCATTATGACTTTGCATGCCATGTGTTTGGGAAGAAGGGATTTGGGGTCAGTAATGGGGAGAAAGTTCTTCCATCTGCTACATGTGGCCTTTTAATGCCCTTTTGGTTAAAGTCTGCTTGACTTAGTGCAGAGAGCACTTTCTTAGCTCCTTGCTGTCAGCACTACAGGGCCTGAATAAGTTGCAGGAAAAGTTAGTTCTTGTGTATTATCTGTGATACGTCAACAGCAGAACTAAGCACCTGTTCTGCTACCTTTTGGTATAATTGAGTATGAAGCAGAAAATCTACTTTTGTTTCTGTATTAGGTAGCAACAGCATGGTCTGATTTCAGTGTTTCATTACCAGTTTGAACCTATTTTGTGTGAGTTTAACCAGTGTGTATGAGTATTTGAAAGCAAGGAAACACAGGAGTGCAGTTTAGTTTTGACTGACCTGGACTGAAGATGCATGCATTGTGTAATCCACCTGCAAAGACTTCCCTTTTGTAACTTAGATCCATGGAAATTAGGTAGAAGGTAGCTAGATTGCTTTGTCTCTGGGCCTAGGTGGTGCTGTTCACTTGACTGATTACTTGATTTAAGTAAGAGGTGACTTGCTGAGTTTGGAAGCAAGGGAAGAGCAGCATGTATTTCTTTGTAGCATAGTAATTCTTATATAATCTGATAGTTCTCTACAGTGCTTGTCACTGTCAACCAAGGAGTGCTGCACTGCTGTAAAAATAGATTGGACTCATGCTGACCTTTTAAAAATACCCCTAATACACTAGCACAGGCTTTGCCTTAGAACATCTGACTTTTAATTCTGATTGTGAAGCCAAGTGAGGTAAGTAGAACTTGGATTGACTGTAAATGACTTAGCCACTTAACAAATCCTCTTGAAGAACCATACTTGCTTGCCACCTACTTTACTGAGGGTGTGTAGAATGATTAAATGCTGGCATGTTGGGGTAACCTCCCTCACCGATGTTGCTTCTCCCACTGCTGGTTTGGTACCCAGCAGTCCTCTCCTCAGCACTGAAGACTAATGACTCTGAAAACACATTGGTTAAATTGTTTACTGTGGTAAAACAGCTGATAGGTTTTGGTGTGTGCTTTCCACTATGATTATGTGGCTTACGCTATCACTGTGATCAGCAATGTGAAATGTTTGTGGTTTATGGAGCTTTTGATTCTTCCTCAGTTTTCAGTTGACCAAAGAAATGGTGATGGAGAAGCCAAGTCCCCTGCTGGTCGGGCGGGAGTTTGTGAGGCAGTAAAAAAAAATTCTGAACCAAGCACCTGACTATTTGCACAGGTAAAGCTCTATTTCACTTTGAGCTGGTTTTCTGTGTGAATGCCTTAGTTTGTATGTTAAAATTGGTGAATAAGCTTGTTACCATGTCTTGGCTTACTATCTGTGTTCTGGTTGTTAGTGGAATGATGCTAGGTATGTATTCTAAGCAAAAAAAAAAAAAAAAAAGAAGAAAAATATAAATCAAGAGCGTATTGCTTGCTACTTCTAATTGTGTGGCTGTATTTTAATAATTCAGATAGAAAATATGCTCAAGAGTGTATTATTCATAGTGCACTCTAATGTAGAGGTTCAGTGTTCTTACATAACAAAGCTTAGTGTTAAAATATTTCTTTCCAACAGGTTTTATGGGAAGAACTCTTCTTATGTCCATGGGGGCCTGGATTCCAATGGAAAACCAGCTGATGCAGTCTATGGGCAATCTGTAAGTACTTCTAGAAAACCTTGTTCTTTCCTTTTCTTTTTTTTTTTTTTTTTTTTTTTTTTTTGGCACCTTTGTGGTTAAGAAGAGACATGCGTCTGCCTGTGATTCGTACCCCTTTGTCCAAGTGCTTTCTGTCAAAAACAGGGAGAGAAAACTGCCTAACTGTAAACTGCATTAGTTACGCAAGATATACTTCCTTTATTGAAATTAATAATGTAAAATTGCTTGCAAAGTAGACTTGAAGAGCACGCTGCAAAGCTTTTTCTCTAGAGTTAGGGGGAGTATTCTGAAACAATACTTAATGTTTTTGCTTTCTTTGAAAGCTGCTCATTTAGCACAAGTGGCTTCTGCAGTTCAACCTGTATGCCATTCTTTCATAGGATATCCACAAGAAGGTGCTGTCATTAAACTTCAAGGATTGCCACACAAAGATTCGTCATGTGGATGCCCATGCTACTCTCAATGATGGTGTTGTAGTCCAGGTGATGGGAGAGCTCTCCAACAACATGCAGCCTGTGCGCAGATTCATGCAAACATTTGTACTTGCACCTGAGGTATGCTGTAGTTAGTGCTAGTGCTATTACAGTGCTTCTACTACCATGTCTAATACCACAACACCTTTCTGGTTCAGTGTTAGAATTCAGGGTTAGACTGGGAAGGTAACTTATTACAAAATTCAGCAGTAAAATTCTGCAGATTTCTTAGGAAATACACACCTCTGTATGGTCATATATTAACCTTGGATATCATGACTACAATTGTAAGTATCCTAACTTTTGGCTGCTAGGTATGTGCAATGCTTATTTTTCCTTAAGCATTTTTAAAGTTACTTTATCTTTGATTTGCCCTCCTAGCAACCTGTCCTCTTATTGAAAAGAACTAGTAGAAAGAGGAAGATGCTTCCCGTTGTTTGAAGAGACAGGTTCCAGACTTTCTTGTTGTATAAAGTGATGACTTAGCATTAGAGGTGGCTCTTTAGATAGACACTTTTTTTGAACAAAACGGATCACATAATTAAACATCATAAAAAAGGAGTATTGCAAGATCACTTTTCAGCTTGACTTGGAGCTAAGAATGGATTTAGGCCCCAGAAAGTTCTCACTCCAACCTTTTCCATGTTGTGAGCTATCAGAATTAAAAGCACTAGTACATTACTGCAGTTGATGTAATTAAACTGGTTCCTTCTTTGATTTGCTTCTAGGGTTCTGTTGCGAACAAGTTTTATGTCCACAATGATATCTTCCGCTATCAAGATGAGGTTTTTGGTGACTCTGACACTGAGCCTCCAGAGGGTAAGCAGAAGGAATTGTTGGATGGTTCTACTGGTATTTGTTTCTGGGTCTCTATCAGTATTCCCAGACCAGTGGAAATTTTCTTGCTGGAGAAGGCAGATCAGCATTAAGCTTCATGTTCTTCAAGGCTTTCTCCTTGCACTACAAGGAGTTGTGACATGCTGATGATTATTTTTCTGGCATATTTTGTTTCTATTAAAGGAACCGTAAGACTTACTTTGGCAGTCACAGTCAGATTTGTAGGCTATAAATCTGCTTCTCTGAAATGTTTGGAACATGTTGTTTGACTTTGGTCAAAACTGAGTAACTGAAATGACAGCAGAAATATGAGAAAATGTCTGTGTTCTGTGTCACATCCTAATAGTGCTTCCCCATGGCCTCTTTGGCTTTCACCTGCATGTTGTGGAAGATGCCCTGCATTTGAACCAAGTATTAAAGATGTGTGTGTCTCTTGGTTTTTCCCTTCTCTAACTTCATTTAGAATCAGAAGAAGAAGGGGAGGAACCTGAGGAAAGACAGCAGACACCTGAGGCTGTTCCTGATGATACTGGTGCTTATTATGAGCAGGCTGTCAGGTAATAATACCTTGTTATGAAATCAGGTGTTCTGTAAGCCAGACTGCTTGTAGAACAGGTCAAATGAATTTATTGCTACTTCTGATTTCCCTTTTTGACAGTCCAAATATTTCTGCTTATTGGGCAGCTGAAACCAAAGTGCTGTTAGGCTATTCCAGTAGATGTAGTGTTTTTGCCGCTCTAATATAACATGAGGAACTTGCATCCCTGCGTAGTGTGGCCTTATTTATACAGATTAGCTTTGTTCTTCCTCTTGAATGCAATGTGCCTGACTTCAGTACTAGACAAGCAGCATGTCTTACCACCCAGTAATAGTATCAATAGAATACCACCTCTTTTTTTCTGTTTTTTATGGTGCTGTGTAATAGCAATGACATTGAGGAACACCTGGAAGAGACTGCTGCAGAAGCAGAGCCTGAGGCAGAGCCGGAACCCGAACAGGAAGCTGAACCAGAGGTGCAGGAAGAAAAATCTGAGCCTGTATTAGAGGAGTCGGCTCAAGAAGAGACTGTGGAAAAAAGTCCTTCTCCAGCTCCTGCTGATCCAGCTCCTGCAGTGCAAGAGGACTCCAGGGTAATGACAGTGGGTGGCTTTTTTTCTTTAATGTTGTGGTTTCATCAGTATGTTTGTATCTCCTGTTGTCTTACAGAGCATGATCTATTTTCTGGCCAGAGGATAGATAATTTGCATTTAAATGCTCTGTGTTTCCCCCTTCCCTGCAATCCCAAATTGTTCTTAGGACCAGTTGCCTCCTTCACATTAGTTCCTATACACCAACACATAGTTAAAATTCTAGCTAGTAACTAGTTGGTTAGAATACCAGGAGCTAAGATAAGGCTTTGTGTGTTTGGTGGGTATGGGAACTGTAACAGCAGTGAGAGGCTCAGATTCTTTGTTTGTAAACAGAGCTGCTGAAAGTCTCAACAGACTGCAGCCAACATGCTGAATTGGGAAAAGGGGTGAAATGCAACTTTATTTCTACCTGGGGATTTTTGTCACCCTTCAGTGATAAAGGAGGCAAAAGTGGACAAATGAGTGAACAAGAAACCAATACTTTGATTACTATTGATGTGATACTTGTTCTTAGGGTCCTCTTTCAACTCCACATAGAACTTAGAAATAGGTGACACTAAGTCTTTTGAATTTAAATGATTTGAAGGAGGTTGTGGGGAAACTGCTAGTGGCTGGATCCCAGATTTCAAGGACAGGTTAAAATGAGTTACTGTCATTCTGCCTGTTAGCTGTACTATGAGGAGTAGATTTCAGAAGGATAAAAACATCTGGAGTTGAGTTACAATCTTCTCTTCTTTTAAGACTTTTTCCTGGGCATCAGTAACGAGTAAGAACCTTCCTCCCAGTGGAGCTGTTCCAGTATCAGGAATACCACCTCATGTTGTGAAAGTACCGGCCTCGCAGGTAGGAATCCAGCACTTGGAAAAGTAAAAGTGCTAAACTGGCTGATGGTAAACTGAGGTGGGGAAAAACATAGTGAAATCTACTTGCTTATGATTTGAATTAAAAATTCAGTGTTTCCTGATAGACTTCATACAAATGTTATTCCTTGGCTTTTGTGTTGAGAATGAGTTGTTTCTCATGGGGGTAAAACAGCGAATGTCCATGCAAGTGCTGAGTTTCTGCCATCTGAAATGATTGCACCCTCTTAACAAAAGAGGCAGCTTTTCCTTTCCTGCCTGTTACAACCTATTTGTGAATGAGGTTTTGTCACAAATCAGTTTGTAATACATTCTGTCCGTGTACCTGCCACTGCACTTAGGGCAAATATGATTTATTGTACATAACTATGAATGGTGTGACTTTGAAATTCTGTCTTAGTCAAATGGCATGCTTGCTGTTAGTGTGTAAACCAACATGCATTAACATGCGTTTTAGTCACAAGTGGAAAGAACTACGGTTTTTTCCTGTGTTTTCAGTTTATTTTATCAACAACTTGATAGTGAGCTGTTAAAAGCTGAACTTTACCATTGTTTGGTACAGCCCCGCCCTGAGGCAAAGCCTGAATCTCAGACCCCACCTCAGAGACCTCAGAGGGATCAGCGAGTGAGGGAGCAGCGAACAAGCATCCCACCACAGAGGGGTCCTAGACCAAGTAAGAGACACTACAAAGAATAAGCTGGGTTTTGCTATTTGATGGTTTGGGGGAAGCAGTATCATGATTAAAGCCTTTAAAATCTCATTAATTCTGCCAGTAAGCAAATGATTTTTACTACTTTTGTGGATATGGTTATTTTAGATTATCTTGGTCTGAATGTCTGGCAAGCTTTAGAGCTGAATCTCACTAGCATTCAATTGAAGTATCTGGGTTTCTACTCAGGTGTGTGGCTTCAGGTGATAAAAAGCACCTTACACTTGCTAGTGTAAAATGCTTGCTTTTTTAATATAAGAATGAATAAAGAATGTGAATTCTGATTTTATTTTATTTTTTTTATAAGGTGCTAATTCTGACTTTGGCTTGGTGTTTTGTTTTTTTTTTTGTTGTGGGTACTGGCTTTTCTTACACAAGTTTTACTTTTCTGTTCAAGTTCGTGAGGGTGAACAAGGCGATGTGGAAACCAGACGGATTGTGAGATACCCAGACAGTCATCAGCTGTTTGTTGGGAACCTTCCCCATGATGTGGATAAATCTGAGCTGAAAGACTTTTTCCAAAGTAAGTTAGTTTCTTTGCTGTGTCTCAGGGTATGGGGGTTGTAGCCATCAGTGTGGTCAACAGAGCATTCTAATGTATGACCCAAGAACTTGGCTTTTCTCTTGCAGGCTATGGCAATGTTGTTGAACTCCGCATCAACAGTGGTGGAAAGCTCCCCAATTTTGGGTTTGTGGTGTTTGATGATCCTGAACCAGTTCAGAAGATCCTTAGCAGCAGGGTAAATAAACTTCTAGTCAGTGAGTTTTGATCTGTTAATACCAGGCATTGTTCTTCAGGTTAACAAGAAAAGATTCTACTTGGTCCCTTTGGCCTTTCTTGAGCATATTAAAGTAGGTGTGATGTCTTGTTATTGATGTAGCTTATAACAACTTAGGTGAACATGAATTTATTCATTATAAAGCCTTTTTCCTATAGGAAACTGCAGAACTGTATGCAGGAAGCAGGTAAATAACTTTCAGGAAGGCAAGGTAGAGAGCCTGACCCTATAGACAAGCAGAATCTTCTTTGTCAAAGAGTTTGAAAGGGAAGAGCTATACTAGTGTGCTGGTTGAAAAGAATTTCTTCTACCAAAGGCAGGAGGTACTTGCTCAGCTTGTTACCAGTGATTGCTAATGCAAAATGTGCATTGTATGACTGTATAGTGTGGTAGTTAAAACATCTGGATGCAGTGTAACACTGTGCATTGTCCTTGCTTACAGCCTAGCTTTTCACCAGACTGGGACATCCTTTGTTTTCTTACTATACAGCAGATTTGACAGTATATTTCTCTTCTTCAACTGAAAGGTAACTCAGGTGCAGATTTGTAAACCTTGAGATTTGGTCTGAGTTTGGGCTATTTCATGTGGCCAGACACCTTTAGCTGTTGGATGCCAGCAGCATTTGTGGCAGTGCTTAATGAGTTAGTGTGCATGAAGCCCAGCAGTCCTAGAACTCCTGCAGGAAGCTGGCAGTTCAAGATCAGAATGCTGATGGAGAGTTGCTTCTGTAAGTGCTGTCCTACTATTGGGGGGTGAGCAGTCCAGTGTGGTCTAGGATAAAGTTTAAACCAGGTGATTTGAAAACAGTGCTAAAAGTAGGTTGAGTAAATCTGGTTGATTTTGGCCTGAATTGGTGTGGGAACAAGTAATACAGCAACAGTGGGTCCTTAAGCCATTTCTTAGCTGCAGGTAATGTGTGCATATCTTCAGCAGTGACTTAAACTTGTGAGGGAGAACTTTAGTTCTCAAAAATGCAACTTCTCCAAGTTCCAGACTTCATGTCCAGGGAATATCAAAGACATGCTTAGCTAAGGGATTTTTGTGGCCTTCTACTTGTTTGCTTGTTCAACTGGGCCACCCTGTGTAACTGGAGCCAGAGAAAAGAGTGAGTGCTGGCTTCCAAGTTAGACTTGGAATGTGTAATGGTTGGTGCACTCAAAGTATCTTTTTTACAAGCCTGTGTAATTGCTTAAGTTATAATGGATGGGCATGGTTTTCTGAAATAAGGTATTTATTTTACATGGGCTTGAGTCTTATAAAAGCAGTTTACGCACCCACACCTCCTTACTCTGCTTTGAACAGCACTAAATTCTCTCTGCGGTGTCCACTGTGTGAATTGTTTTGCAAACTGGCCCAGTACTTTGAGCAGACACGTCTTGAAACAGTAGGACTCTTTTTGGGATAAGCTTTGCTATAAATGAGTTTAAAAGGCTTTGGTAGACTGTTCGCCAGTGAAGCTAAACCTAATGTCTGCTACCTGCTGTGAAACGTGTGAGTTTACACTGGAGTTAGTAATGAGGCTGTAACATGATGCTTGGATCTAGCTGATGGCTAGGGGAGAGCAACATGTTTCTTCCTTAGATCTGTTCTACTGAACAGACTATAGAAGCAGAAGTGAATGACTAGTCTTTCCATATGATGGGAAAGCATTGTGCCTGTGCCAGCAATGCATCCTATCTTTCGTGTTCTTGTTTGCTATGTAGCTGCAGGAATAACTTGAAACAAGTGAGTCCTTATTCCTGTATTTTGTGGATTCTTTCAGATTTCAACTTTTAATCTTCAATTGAGGTTTGTGGGATGTTGCAGTCCTGCTCCTCTTTGTTCTTGTTTCAGTGAGATTTCCCAGTCAAGTGACCGCTTGTCACTGGAATTCTAAGAAATGGAACTTGACTGAAGTGAAAGGCCTGTGTGGTGAGGTGGCAGAGGGGATCTGACACTTTTCATGCTGTAAGGAAAATCAGTTGGGATGCTGCATGGTGGCAGACTGAATTGCCACGTATTACTGGAAGACGTCTAAGAAACAGAACTTGCCTGAAGTGAAAGACTTCACTGGCCTGTGTGGTGAGGTGGCAGAGAGGATCTGACACTTTTGATGCTGTAAGGAAAATCAGTTGGGATGCTGCATGGTGGCAGACTGAATTGCCACGTATTACTGGAAGACGGTTACTGTTAATAGTTCCATTTCTTTTCTAAAAGGTGTTAGAATACTCAGTGTGAACGGAGATTGCTTTTCAAGTGTCAGTTTCGCATCTGTTTTTATACCTTCTCCAGTAAAGTCTGGATGACTATTTGACTATTTTGTTTGACTGTTGCCACTTTCTAGTAACCAGTCATAAAGCACTTCAGTTATCTCTCTTGGAGAGGAGGATGTAAGACAAGGTTGCAGAAATCTGCTTGACATTGAGCAGTTACTGGCAAGTCATTAATGAAAGCACCTTTTCTGCTTTTGTTGCAGCCCATCATGTTCAGGGGAGAGGTGCGCCTGAACGTGGAGGAGAAGAAAACAAGAGCTGCCAGGGAGGGTGACCGCAGAGATAACAGACCACGTGGACCTGGAGGCACTCGTGGGGGGCTGGGAGGTGGGATTCGAGGGCCTCCACGTGGAGGAATGTCCCAGAAGCCAGGATTTGGAGCTGGAAGGGGCATCGGGCAACGCCAGTGAATGCATCACGGATGGTGACATGGTGGCGCAAACCCTTTTTCCTGCAGATTTGTGAATTTCAGCCTTGGGTATCTTGGAATGTGGCCCTAGCCTGTTATAGACTGCTACGTTTGATACTATTTTGGCCCCTTTTTGTTTGTGTTATGGTTTTGTGATTTATTTTTTTTCTAGTCCTTGTCCCAGATTCCAGCTTTGTGGAACAACGCTTTAGGAAAAGTGGATTTTAAAAAGAACAGAACTGAATTTTCTTGTTCACCTCAAACTTACGGACTGGATTTTTTTGGTACCAGTGGTTTTTCCTAAAGGAATGTCTCTTTATTTTTTTTCTTTTTCTTTTTTTTTCCTCCCCCCTTTCTGCTGAATTCGGGTGCATTTCAGTCAGTGGAATATTATTTCACGTGCATGCGTTCACGAGTCTGTAGGAAAACTTAGTACTTGGCAAGTATTTCAAGGGCAGAAAAACAAAACTATTGTTTTATTCTTTGAGGGTCATGAGAACATCCTCTGCTCCGGGGATACTGCCACTTGAAAAATTGACATTCACCTTTCTCTTTGTGGCGCTGTAAAAGTGGAATAATGGGTATCCGTAGAATCCTTTTTTCTTTTGATACATGATCACGGAAAGGAATTGGAACTACTGCTTTACCACTTTAAAATTTTGGATTGTGGGATAGGTTTTAAATGTCTAGAACTTGACTCTTAAAACGCTTTTCCTGAACTTGTGAAAATTTTTTATTGAAATAGGGAGGTTTTTTTCATGTTTAGTTTGTATTTGTATAAAAAAAAAAGCAAAATTGTTGTGCCTTCTATTTATCTCTCATTCCAGTCTTGGCAAATTGTTAAAAAAAAAAAAAGGAAAAAACCAAACAAAAAAAATAAAAAAGGTCTAGATTTGCTTTATCAAGTTGAGAGTATGTTGGAGTTTTTCCAAGGGTTTTCCAAGGTGGTTCTTTCAGTTACTAGGTTTACTAGGTAAAGGTGGGTTATAGCTGATGGTTTTTAATACCTTCTGTTCATCAGTTTGTCTGCATTTAAAGAACTGAAAAAAATACTTTTTGGATGCTGAATTTAGTGACTTGAGGCTGGGCAGGCCCCATTACAAATGTTACAACTGAAGTACAAATACCTCTGTCACATCCTTTACAGTTCAAGCTGCTGTATGTAATAGTTTTGCAGTTCAGGCATGAATTTCATCCCTTGCTTCTACCAGGTCTGAAGTGATTGGGTGGCATTTTTGTCACAAATACAGAAGGTGCTTGTCTGTCCTGGTGTTAAAGATGTTAAGCGCTTTCCACTGTCTGAAAGAAACTGAAAATAAAATCCAAAACTGGGTAATTTCAACTAAAGGTCTTGTAAATTATACTGCACAAAGCAGTACTATTTCTTGTAATGTGTGGTGTTAACCAGCTGGATGGAAATGGCAATTTTGAGTCTGTACCAGACCTTCAGAGCTCTTGGTGATAGAAAAGTGCTGCTTAGTGAGTTTGCTTAACGGTATCAGGGCTCATTGTTTCTGTGTTTTCTTGATTTATTAATATAATCGCTGTGCGTATGCAGTATATCCCTCTTGACCTTTGCTTGCTTTAAAGCTTGAGCGAAGCTGCCCTTGCTCAAAGGGCAGGTAGGTATTACCTGTTCCAGAACAGTAAATTTTTGCCTTTTACTTACCGAACTTAGTGGTCGAGCCTGGTTGTACTAAATGTCAATAGAGTTTTGGTTTCTATCTTCAGAGTTGTTAAACTATGTGTCCCTTTCTTCCTTACAAATGTTTTTTCAGATTGACTTGCTTACAGTCTGTTTCTGAAGACCCAAATATCTTAGTGAACTGGAGAAGAGCAAAGTGTGACAGCAATAGCTGTGGTATGCTCTCACAGCCAGCATGCTGGAAGTACATACTGCTTCCTCTTGTGGTAGTAACTGGTATTAATTAAGAAGTTCTGCATTTTTTGTATCAGGAATGACTGAGGTGAAGCTATGCAATGGAAGTCTTTCACTGAATCTCTTGTCCTTGTTGTTTGTGATGTTTTTTCCTTCTCATTTGTTGGGTTTCTAGTGTTCTTGATGTTAAATCCAAGACTGCAGTAACAGGCTGCTGCTTCAGATTTATCAAAGTGCTATTAATGGAAGCTTTTATAGCTCTTAACCAAATCTGCAAAAGCACCTGTAAGCCTGAAACACCATTTCTGTAGTGGGGGTTGAACAGTTCTGGCACATTGTTGTCTGGTTTAAGAAAGAGCTGAGGAATGTCAGTGAAGAATTCAAAAACCTATGAGGTGAAGTGTGTGCTTGTTTTCATATGAATCATACTCTCAGTATGTTGACCCAGAAAGTGATATTCTTGTCCAAGATGACAGGCAAAATAAAATATTCACAGAAAAATTTCTTGGGATGTCTTGTAAAGAAATGCTTTTCAAAAGCAAGTTACATTGGAAGCATCTTGAACAAAATGTAGTGACTCAGTATTTGCATTTTGGTTGTTCTGTGACTAGTTAATAGCCAGGTATACTGTCAAATGTCACACTGCCTTTTTTATTTAAGCCTCAAGCCCTTCTGTTTCCTCATTGCTGTGCAAAACCTCAGCATCTCTTGTCTAAGGTCTTCAATGCTTTGCATGCATTAATGGTGAAAGATGGCTATGAAGAAGTCATGATTTGATTCACCTCAGCTGGCTGCAGCGAGTTAAATAGTTACAGGATGGCCAACCTCTAATAACCAAGGTAGTCTTAATTCTTTCTAGAAAGAAATTACTACAGGGAACTCTCAAATGACTAAGGCTGTGGTCTCCCTGCTAGCACCTCCACTTCAGTTGAGAATGAGGTGGTGTTTGCTGAAGTGCTTTTGACGTCCCAATGCTCTGCAGGTAGTAGGAAGTGGAGGAGAGTTGGTCAGATCCATTATCAGCTGCTTTTGCACCCACAAAAACCACTTGGATGATGTAGGGAACATTGATCCTTACACCTTAATAATCTGCCCTTCTGAGAGCACAGAGGGGTTCTTGTATGACTAGTGATCTGGCTGATCGTAATAGTATAAGACAAGTAGAAATTAGACTGTTTTGTTTACAGTAGTATTTCATACCACCTGAACCAAAACTGGAAGCCACACTGCCTTTGCTGCCCTTTCTTTGGTTAAGGGCACTGTAAAATTAAGTAGGCTTAGTTTATCCCTTGTGCAGGGGAAAACTGGAGTACTCTTAGGTACCAGCAGACTTACAGGGTGCTGGTGTGTAAAGCTGAACTGAAATGTTTTGGTGTTCAGGACTTCAGGTGTGCAGTTGAGGATTCAGGCAGGGATCACCTGTTTGTGCTGCAGGGCCCTCTTTACAGGTTCTTCTTGCTTTCTTATGTTAAGAATCATTTGCTGAGAGCTGAAGCTCTAGTGTTCCTGGGTGTACACTAGCCATATACTGTGTGAAGGTGGTGGCCATACTGTTGGAAATTGGGCTTTGAAGAGGGGATTTACTCCTGGAGTATGAAACGGCCTTTGTTGTAACAGTTCTGACTTGAATCTGAATGAGAAACATTCTTCGCCAGTGCCACATGGAGTCGATGCCCTTTAGATGTGCGAGTGTTTTCCTTGATGAAAAAGATGGTTCTGGGTGCAGGTATGAAGATTTGGAGCTGCTGATTCTGCACATAGTGGAGGAACGTTTTGAACAAAACGGTTTTTAACCGTTTCTTTACACACTGCTGCCTGTGCTTTAGCAGGAAGTAATTATCTTGGTGGTTGTTTCATCTCCCACCAGTACCATTCTTACACCAGCTGGTAACTTGAAAAACTGCTCTCCTAAGGTCTTGATGATAATGTCTTGAATGTAGAAGATAGGACAAGGGGGTTTGTTAATAGCTTGTCTGGTTATGAGACATGCAACAATTGAGTAAAATGCTTTCAAACTCCATTCCTCAAAGACAGCAGATTTTAGAGTAATGGTGTGTTCTCAGAATAGACATGGGAGGCAGGATGTTGTCCTTCTATTTTCTGTTACAAAATGCTACTTGCCAAGCCAAGTGGGATCTGCTGTTCCACTGATGATATTTCAAACTTGACAAAGCACCTGACTGTGGATGGAAAAACACTTTATCCTGTCCATCTTGGAGATTTAGCATGAGTGGCTATCCTTTAACATTCTGAAATGTCATTTTGGGTGTCTGAAGGTCAGTTCATCTACTGAAGAATTTTAAGGTTATGTATAAATAATGCCATGTCAGAGCTTGAAAAATGGTACATGAAATACCTTTTGGTTTTCTTTATATGAACCCTACACCCAAGCAGCTAAGCTCCTTGCCGACCTGTTTCAATTTGCACGAGAATTTAAGGCATATGTTGCCTCTAATGAAAGTATTGCTGTTCGTTTGTGTCTGATTTTAAAATCCAGGGTATTGCAGAGACAACATGAACAGAGCTTTCTCTTTGGGTACCTGTTATTGCGTGAAAGGCCAGAGCAAATCAAGGTGTCTCATAGAGACTAGAGGTGCAATATGTCCCTCTTTGGGGGGCAGATAAAACTTGCTTGTTCTGCCTGGACTTGATCTTGAATCCTGGGGAGGATGGCTAACAGTGTGTTAGCCAAATGTGTTTAACCTTGCAAGAGTCTGAAATAATAGGGAACAGTTCAGGAGGCTGATACTGCTGCGGTAGGAATTCCTTTGTGGGGTGGAGCTCAGGAGGTCACAGATGGGAGAGATTATTCTTCAGAATAAAAGGCTTAACAGTAAAACTGATCTTCTGCCTCATTTCCAAGAAACATTATGTTAGCACAAATGCAGCAGCAGTGCGGGCTGCAGTGTGGAACCTCTGGCACTGAAAACCCATGGAGAGAACTTCAGAAAAATCTTTTATTGGAATGGGGATGAATGTATGACTCAATAAATAGATTTTATGTACATATAACAGCAGAAACTTTACATTCCATCTTCAAACTGCTGAAATAAACTTTCCTTTTAAAATTTTTTTACAAGACAGAAAAACAATCTGCCACTGTTAGTGTGGTCATGCAAATTGTATAAGTTGAAGTTTATTTCATCATGATGTAAAAGTGCTGCTTTTAAGGAAGCAGTTGCTTTGCACTCTAACCAATGTAGCAAAATATCCTTAAATGGAGTGTAAGGCCATACCAATTTTGTATATGTATCTATTTATTATAAATCCATATAGAAAAGACAGGGAGGTCCCTTTTTAAGGGGAGTAGGGATAAGATACATAAGCACTTCATGATTAAGCTAGTTCATTCTCTTTGAAGGGTTTTACATCCAAAGTTTTGAGCATGGGTACACTTCATGTTCTTTCTCTGGTCTCTCCTCTGTTCTTTAGGAGAAAGTAGCATGAAAGTTAATAAACATTGACTTTTTCCATTAATTTTTCAGACTTGTGTTATTGAACCAGTAGAGCTCGTCAGCACTTGAGGTGCTTATTTCTCTCTTTTTTTTTTTTTTACCTTAACTCCAGTGATTAATTCTTACTCTGAGTACTTTTCCAGTTATCTCCTGTGAGATGCTGATATTTTAGCACCCATCTGTAAGGAAGAAAACTAAACCAGCTGAATGTGAACTTTCAATGCCTATTTTAAAGAAGCTAATTTGAAGTTAAAGGGAGGTGAATTTTGTCCTTTTAACAGCAGCTCTTTTTCCTGTGCTTAAGAGAGTTGGTCAACCTGGGGCAGTTTTAATGCTACTGCTTCTTTCTGAAGCCTCAATAAGATTGAAGAAGGAAAATGCTCTGGCTTTGCCAATCCTGTTCTGATCATGAACAGACTTGAGAGATACCTGTATCCTGGTAAGTTTTTAACAAGCACACCAACAAAATGCAGAAGTAATTAAAATCTGGGTTTAGTATTTACAGAAGAACAGTGATAATGGGCTCTGATGGATGGGTGTGTCAGGAGGGTATAATCCTCTGTGAGAGGGT